CCAATGACTTTTATTTTATTTTATTTTTTTTTTTTTAATGTTCATTTAATAATTAAATTTAATAGGTTTATCAATTTTTTTTTGTTTTATAAAAAAAAGAAAAAAGGAAATATCAGAAAATTGTGAATTCTTTGAAGAAATTCTCGTTCATCGTCAGAATATATTTTAAGTTTAGGGATATGATGTCAACTTCACAAACACAACCATAATATTCACAAACATAATTATTTCAACATATTATTTTGTTTTTCTATTAGATATCTTTTATAATAGTTTTATAATAGTTTTATAATAGTATTTTAATGGAACGTTATTAGAAAATAATTTTGTTTAGTTGATATTTCTCATAAATGATGTTGCCAATTTTTATTTAAGTGATTATTATCGGTGTCATTAAAAAACTTGTAATTTTAGTTTGTCAATAATTATCGTAATATCAAATTTATAATTTTTATCTAAGATATGATTATTTTGTATTATTATTTTTAATAGATTGAAAAAAAAAAAAGAAAAACAATACTTCGATAATGTATCATAGTTCAGATTTAAGATAATTTCAAATGTATTATCGTCATTTATTTTGTAATTTTAATATTGGAATCTCTAGCACACTTGAATACGCTATCTGGTGACTAAATTCAAAATTAGATTAGATAGGTCCAATTGTTAAGCCACGCCCCTGCCAGAGGATCCCAATATCATAGTTAAATATTATGATAATTTAAGTTTATTATCGTAATTTTGAATTTATTTTCTATAAATAAATGACTTTTTAAATAATCTTCTTAATATATATACATATAAATTATGTGTCACGTTGTTTGTCCGCAATGTATTCCTAAACTACTAAACCGATTTGAATAAAATTTTGCACACTGTGTGCAGTTTTATCTAACTTGAAAGATAGGATAGTTTATATCTCAATTTATTGCAAATTATTTGATTGTGAGCCATAGCAACGCGTGGTGGGACACCCCTAGTAGTTTCCTATAAATAAATGACTTTTCAAATAACGTAATATTTAATTAAGATATTTGTGAACAAACGTAGTCCTATTATATTTCAACAAGTTATCATCGATATCTTTTGTGTAATCACATAAAAACGTATCATCGTACACAATTTCAACTTCCTCCCTTTTTTTATGATTATACTTCAATACGAACAAAAAGATAACAGATGGAGTTTTAACTACTAACGAGTTCACTGTTTATATTCCTCAGTTCTCTTCTTTTTTTTTTTATTTTTTAAACAAGTTTTCTTGTTTATTATTACTGCTTGATGACTTGAAAAAGTCCTTCCTCCTACTTAAACTCTTAATTCTTTTTTTTTTTTTTAAATCGTTAACATCGACCTCTACCTACTTCGTTAGATCGGTCTGACCTTATTTGGCTTTTGATTTCTTTCATTTCCATCAGATCAAGAAGGATAGATAATTTTAGATAATTTCATTTGAACGAGACATGAAAAAAAGAAAAAAAAAAGAGAAAAAGAATCCTTCCTCTTCTATTATTTTTTATAATTGAACAAGGAAAGAAGTGAGTTCCAAGATTTGTAAAGAACGATACTTTTGTGGTGTAAATTAGGAAGAAGAAGAAGAAGAAGAAAAAAAAAAGAAACTAAATGAAACGTGTTACTTGTCTTTTCATCATAGGGAAACAGGATGATGTCAATTAGTTACTAGAAATAGAAAATATCTTTTATTATTGCAGTATGACAATAAAAACCGGTTAAAAGCATTTACATGTGCATTCACACGTTCACACATATACACATAAAGATACAGGACTAGAAAGAAAGAAAAAAAAAAAAATGGTTGACTCATGTTCCTCTTACAAGAATTTGTTTCTATTTTTTTTCGTTCAAATTAATTAACTATCAATTATTTTACAAATTGTCAAATGTTTATTTAAACAAAAACAAATATTAAATAATTTAATAACTAGGGGTGCTGTGGCTCACAATCAGTCCGATACACACGTCTTTAAGTCAACGAATTACCTTATACCGACATCTGTTAGAATCTTATCGAACTAACACATAACACTTTGTTAATGAACAAATAATTTGCAATAAAATAATATTGCGAATTATAAATTGAAATATAAACTATTCTATCTTTCAAGTTGGACGAGACTGCACAAAGTGTGCAAAATTTGATTAAAATCGGTTTACTAGTTTAGGAATCCATTACGGTCAAACAACGTGTGACACGTAATTTATATATATTAATATAGTATTCATCATATGGTGTGTGTGTGTAATGCAACTATGAAAAGATGATGCAGATGAATTCAATGCTTAGTGTAGCAGATTTGCGTGGTATTATCTCGTTGAAGTCAAAGAAGAACTTGAAGGAAAAGGAGAAGGAATAGGTGGTGGAGGTGGTGGTGGTTGTGATGGTTGTAATGGTGGTGGTGGTGAAGGAGGAGGAGAGGATGAAAGATCCTTCAGACTTTCCTCCTTCCTCCACTTCCTTTTCATCTCGTTTTTCTTTATCTTGTTTTACTACTTGGAACGAGTGCCGTTAAGTATTGCATGACGTCATCAGTTACATCATTACAAACCATGCGTGTTATAGGAAGAGAACAACCATACATGTGGGACATATATTTGTACTTATTATCATCATCTCGGGGTTTTCCATGGTCACAAAGTTGAAACTTTCAAAATGAATATTAATTATATTTCAATCAATTAAATTAATTATCATTAAATTTGCATATTAATTGCATTTGTATATAATGCATATTAATGCATTATAATAATATATTGTATGTCTGTGTATGTGTGATATAATATAATATTTGTTTTTTATATAATAATATATTAATTATTTATAAATATAATCTTATCTTCTTAATAGATATAAATTACGTGTGACGTTGTTTGTCCGCAATGGACTCCTAAACTAGTGAACGGATTTTAATCAAATTTTGCACAATGCGTGCAGTTTCATTCAACTTGAAAGATAGGATAGTTTATATCATTCTAATAGATGGCGGTATAAGGTAATTCGTTGACTTAAAGAGACGTGTATATCGGACTGATTGTGAGCCACATTTGTTTGTATTTTCAAACAAAACACATATAGCTAATTGATATTTAATTGAATTTTTCTTAGACTCGCAAATCAAAACTTCCAAGAATTACTGTAAAAACTTTTGATAACGAGTCATAATAATAATAATAATAATAATTATTATTATTGGATCTATAAATCAATTAACTTTTGATTAGATTTTTTTGTTTCATATAGAGAGGAATTATTTCTAATCAAGGTTTTTCCAATCATTTTTTTTTTTTTTTAGCTTTTGCGTAAATAATAAAGAGAGGACTGATGGATGGAATGAAGGTTTTCTTCTAAGACTTTTGCTATTTTAAAAGATACTTATTATAGTTCGTACGTTCATTTCAAGAAGCGAATATTATATATTGGTGATTGGGTGACCTTCACTCACGATCGGCAATATATCCGATCACGTATCTAACAATAACTCAACCATGTGGCACATACCGTTGCATTAGAACTTTATTAGTTCAATTCTAGAATCATTTTCTTAGAAACTATCTTATTATTTGTTTTCTATTTTTCAGAAATATTTCATTAAAAGAAACCCATCTACTCACCCATCCATCACTTCCCCCTCATCAAGTAATTACGTTCATATCTAATCACAAATATCGTATATTAAATCATTTATTTGAAATGACATCATTAAAACGTTTCTAGTTTACTTTGGTCCAACTTCAAAGGTCTCCTTTTTAACGTTTCAGTTTAGTCTACTGATTATCTTCAAACGTGCTTTTCTAGCAAAACAAATTTCTGCAACATTGTTTTCCAGAGTTAAAACACACACGCACTAGAGTCGTCATAACTTTTGCTATTTTAATACCAGCCTGAATAAAATCAAATTTATTTGTTTTTTTTTTCTTTTAAGTTAGGATTGAAACTCAACAATCCCCCAAAAAAATAGATACAATTATTTATTTGGAAATAAATTAAAAACTATGTCTAAATATATATAATTGGTATGAATCATTTGTAGAAACATATTCGTGTTTTCGATTTAATTGCAAGAACTTTAAAACTGTCTCACGAGTATTATTATATCGTGACAAAGTATCATTTTTATAAATTGCAACCTAATTGTACAATTAGGATGAAATACAAACAAATAATATTAAGAAAATGACACGATATTAAAAGTAATGGATTACACAAGTAGTCTCTCTCCTTCTCTCTCTCTCTCTCTCTCTCTCTCTCTTAAACTCTCTTAAAGTTTTCTCCTATGCGGGTTAATTTAAATGTCACGCGACATGGATAGTAGTCAGTCGTCACGTTGTGTATATGTCATTCTGTTATTTCCATAGATAGATAGATACGTTGGTAGCTAGTAAAGGCATTGAAAGGTTGCACAAAAGGTCTCGGTCTTGGTCTCGGCCTTCCAACTCTCTCATTACGATCAATGACGCGTAACAACTAAGTGATGATAAAGATTCAATTCCCTTTTTTGTATTTTATTATTTCACTAATATTTTAGAATTCTATCAATTTTTATTCTCCAACAACAAATCTTCTTGTTTTAATACACGATGGTATCGAACAAACGCAAACATTGTTTCTGATCTCGAATGAATTTCATTTTATCTTTGTATGTCAACAAAATAAAGTGTTCATTTAGATTAGAAAGACAATAAGTGTGTGTATATGTCGTTAATGAACCACTTTCATTGTTTTCCCAAGTTGAACTGAATCGATGTCTTTGTTTCTGTTGTGTTCCACCAACTACACAACTATTTTGCATTAGTTGAATCAACTTGGCAAACCTTACAATGTCTTCCTTCTACTTTTATGCAATACCACTTCATGTCAAACCATTTAGTATATTTTGTTAATTCATTTATCAATTTATAAATTAAATTAAGCCTGTCGTTTGTGAGAGACACATTATTTTTGTATATCTGTTAAATTGTTACTTTTTATGACGTTGTTTCAGGGAAGGAGGTAGATACATGCAGGTGGCATGGAAGGACGTAAAGGTCGGTGACCTGGTACACCTTTCAAACAACGAAGTAGTCCCAGCAGATCTTTTACTTCTTCGTAGCAGTGATCCTCAGGGTTTAGCTTATCTCGATACCTGTAATTTAGACGGTGAAACGAATTTGAAACAACGACAAGTAGTTCGTGGTTTTTACGAATTGCAGGATACATTTCAACCTGCTAAATTTCGTTCTATGGTAGAAGTTGATCAACCTAGTACTAGGATATACAGGTAAACGATTATTCTATTGGGTTGGCAACTAAATCATTTTGTTTTAATTTCTTTAACATTTCGAACAAACCAACATTTATTTTGTAGATTTCATGGTGCTGTCGTTCATCCAAATGGTGGCAGAGTACCAGTTTCAACGGAGAATTTATTACTCAGGGAATGTTTATTAAAAAATACGGATTTTATCGAAGGTATTGTGGTCTATGCTGGACATGAGACCAAAGCAATGCTAAATAATGGTGGGCCTAGATACAAAGTATGTTTTACATTAAATTTAAATCCATTCCATTTATTTCCATTCCTGTTAACTAATACAAATTTGTACTTGCAGCGTTCTCGTTTGGAAAAAAGGATGAACTGCGACATCATTTGGTGCGTGGCAATCCTGTTAATACTTTGCGTGATTGGTGCAATTGGTTGTCGATTATGGTTGTCATCATTTTCATCGAAACTTTTTATCCCTTTTCTTCCCCTGTTACAAGAACCCAATATCGAGGGTATGATAACATTTTGTACGTTTGTTATAATACTTCAAGTTATGATACCTCTGAGTTTGTACGTAACCATCGAGATGGCCAAAGTCGGACAGATTTATCATATCGGACGCGACAACTTTTTGTACGACAAGGAAACCGATCGGAGAGCTGAATGCCGTGCCTTGAATATCACCGAAGAGTTGGGTCAAGTAAGTTGAAGATATATAATTGATTAGAAACTAATCTGACACATGAATTAATGATTCTGAATTGTTGTTAGGTTCAATATATATTTTCGGACAAGACTGGTACATTAACGGAGAACAAGATGTTGTTCAGAAAGTGTGCGGTTGGTGGGCAAGATTATGCTCATGAAGGGGACGGTGAAAATATGATGCCTTGTCCAAGATTAAAAGAGGATTTACTCATTGGTACTTTTAGGCATCGTTTGCAAGAGTTCCTTATTGTATTGGCAACTTGCAACACCGTTGTGGTTAATTCACAACCACATCATGATATTATGAACTCAAGTGGTATTATAGAGAAACCACAAAAAAATGGAAGCGGACCAACTAGGTTGGTATTTGATATTTTGTCTTATTGATCTTTTGGGATCTAATTATTATTACAATATAATAATAACAAATAGGTACGAGAGATTATCCGAGTCTAGAAGTGTGACACCTTCGCCATCGCCATCGATACCACCCTTGCCAGTATCATCAACACCACCCCCAAGTATTGCGGAAGACAACAACCCTTCACCGATCTCATCGATCATCGATTCAGCGGCTGTTCTTAACGATACACCTAAATTAAAAACTAAAGTAACTAGGTATGCATTAGTTTTTTTATTAACATTAATTGAATCTAGGATGATTCTCGAGAAACATTTGATTTCAAGGCTGCCTCGTTTCCAGGCCAAAGTTGTTGAACATAAGTTCGATACCGAGTATAGGTTTGGGTTTGTTGTCGAGAAGACAATCACCAAACGGTGGACAGAAAAGGCGTAATATATTGAGTCCAATCTTTGATATGAGTGGAAGGTCTGTTGAACAACTGACACCAACACCGGCTATCTACGAAGCTGAAAGTCCTGACGAGTTGGCTTTGGTTAACGCTGCTAGAGCTTACGATGTCAAACTTCTCAAACGTACACCTCGTAATGCTATTATTTCACTGCCAGACAAATCTATTCTCACTTACGAGATTTTATATGTTAGTAATAATTTCAAATTAATATTATTATTGTTTTTATGCATTTTTCTTGATGTATTTGTATATGTATTTTAGGTTCTGCCTTTTGACTCCAGCAGAAAGTGTATGTCAGTTGTAGTACGTCATCCGTTAACCAGTGAAATTATTTTGTACAGCAAAGGAGCCGATACAACGGTGTTAGCGTCGTTGATATCGAGTGACGAAAATTCAATGACGTCGGCTAAAATTAGACAGCAATTAAATTCGTACGCTCGTCAAGGTCTTCGTACATTGGTCATGGCAAGAAGATCGTTGACTCAACAGGAATACGAAACTTGGCGTAAAAAACATTTGGAAGCCGAATTGGCAACCGAAAATCGCGAACGTCGTATTCGAGATTCTTACGCGAGCTTGGAAAATCATATGACGTTACTTGGAGCAACTGGGATCGAAGATAAATTGCAATCAGGTGTTCCAGAAACTATCGCTGCTTTGGTCAACGCTGGAATCGTTCTTTGGGTTCTAACAGGTTTAACAAAATACTTTAAAAACTTATACAACAAATTGATTTTCAATTTGAAATAATAATAATTTTTTACTTCAGGTGATAAACCAGAAACAGCAGTAAACGTTGCTTACTCGGCTCGTTTATTTTCGCCAGCTATGCAACTGTTGCAATTGCAAACGAGATCTAAATCGGTCGCGGAAACTTTGATTCACGGATATTTGGAATCAGCTAAAAAGGATAATGTTTTAAGTGGAGGAGTTCATAATCGTACCGAGGATGGTATAATGATGTACGGATACGAAGTTGCAGAAAGGGATGCACATATGATAGGTAGTCCATGGCCAAGGAAACGTGCACTAGTAGTTGATGGCAAAACGTTGACCGTCATACTTGACCCAAGATCTGGTTTAACTGGTCCGTTCCTTGAATTAACAAGAACCTGTTCCAGTGTACTCGCTTGTCGAGCTACGCCTCTTCAAAAGGTAAAACACATCTACCATCATTGTATTGGTGCATTTGTTTTTCATTTGACACTTTTTTTTACAGGCTTATATAGTGCGTATAGTGAAGGAACAACTAGGAATGAGAACATTGGCTATCGGTGATGGTGCTAATGACGTGAGCATGATACAAACAGCCGATGTTGGTGTTGGTATCTCTGGTCAGGAAGGTACACAAGCTGTCATGGCTGCTGATTTCGCTATTTGCAAATTTTCCATGCTCAATAGACTTTTACTCTTGCACGGGCATTGGTGTTACGATAGATTGTCGAGAATGATATTGTATTTTTTTTATAAAAATGCTACTTTCGTATTTCTCATCTTCTGGTTTCAGGTAACTTTTACTATTATGTATATTTCAATTAATTCTATAATTTCGTATTTATAATCTTTTCAATGTTGTTTTCATACAGTTTTACTGCGGTTTCTCTGGCGCTGTAATGATAGATCAAATTTATCTGATGCTATACAACCTGTTGTTCACATCGCTACCTCCACTTGTATTAGGTGTATACGATCGTATAACCACACCAGATGTTTTACTTTCTAATCCAGAACTTTATAAAAGGGGAAGACTGGGTTTAGTTTATCGACCTTTTTCCTTTTGGATCACCATGGCCGATGCCTTTTACGAGAGTATCGTCATATTTTTTATCATCTTCTTGGTTAGTACAACAGCTTCGATTATAACAAATTCATCTACATTTTTATAAATCTTTATTAATATATTTTTTTCTTAGACTTATTACGATTCGACCATCGATATTTGGGAATTTGGAACAACCATAACTACGGCATGCATTTTTTCAATGCTTTTACATGCATCTATCGAAACGAGATCATGGGTAAATATCGATTAAGACAATGAAATAAAATTAGAACCACGATGAAATGATAATCATAAATGATTCAACAATTTCAGACGATAATTCACGTGGTTGCTATAATGGGATCACTTTTCACCTTTATGGGATTCTGTTTAATATACAATGCAGTTTGTGTAAATTGCATGGGATTACCAGGTTCATATTGGGTTATGGAAATGGCAATGACAAGGCATACTTATTGGCTTTCTGTGATATTAACATCAGTTCTAACTGCATTACCGAGGTATTTGACGATGAATTTAATTAGAATAATAATTGAAACAATTTCAAAGTTTTGCACATTCTATATTTTGTTCGTTGCAATTTAAGATTGACGTACAAAAGTGCAAGATCGACATTGGTACCTGATATGATACAACGTGCAACTGTTGCGGTTTCGAAAACTCAGGGACGTCGACAGCGAATCGCTGGAAGAGCCAATTCCAGTTTTATAACAGGTTGGTCACGTTCGAGTCAACAAAACACTACCAGGTAATTATAATTTGAATTTTTCTTTTTTCTTTTTCAATGAACGATTTTGTTTTCATTGAAATATTATTCAACAGACCAAGAAGTTACGGGAATCCAAACGAAGCATTGACAACCATCGTTGCGTGACAGCACATTACAAATGGAACCAAGAAGACGAAGACTGCTTATCGCCTTAGGTCGATAATACTGCCAAGACCTAGATTTTTCTTAATTATCATCGACGTTGATTTTTCAAAATGGCGACATATTTCAAATAATAACGTCGCATCTTACGTTGTTGTAGATTCAAATTAACAAATTACTTATCTGTCGTTGCTGTCAAAACGTTTAACAGCTTTTCCTGTTGTTGTTGTTGTTGTTGTTGTTGTTGTCGTTGCTAACGCATTTTCAATTTTATTTTCTTGTTTAATTTTTTTTTTTTTTTTTTTTTTATTATCATACTTTTAATTTTCATCGTGGTGGCCTTAAAAAGAAAACAAAACAAAAATAGAAGAAAAAACAATCGTATTAGATTCTTTTTATTCGTTGCATTTCAAGGCTGTGAATTTTTAGGGACCAAGACTGTCTTATAGTCAAATTCTCTCTTTCTATCTCTCTCTCTCTCTCTCTCTCTCTCTAAAATGTCGATCGGTTTTAACGGGGTTGGAAAGAAAAAAAACGTTTTAGTGAAAGTAATCGCTTTGAGTTAGAGTGATAGTGTTAATAGGTAAAGAAATACGTTCGGTCGACATACTTAACAGTAATATCGATAGTTAAAGTGTGCATACATATATATATATATATATAGAAAATTGTTTAAAAACATTTTACAGAGTAATGTATATATATATATATATATAATATATGTTATGCGTGAATGTATATAATTCTATACATCATGTGTTAGTTAATAAAAATATGCCATTAAATTTGTTACTATTGTAATTAAGTAAAATAATTGCGTGAGAAAAGAAAATATATATATATATATACATGAATTATAATATATGTATATAATATATAAAAAAATTATCTTACGTGCGTGTATATAGAAGAAAGAATCATTTATTATATATTGAAAAATGAAGAAACGCGTTGCACATGCTGCTGCTGCTGCTGCTGCTGCTGCTGCTGCTGCAGTTGGGCATAGTATTTTGATAAAAATTGTAAAATTCAAGATGGTGGAGATGTTGATGACTATGAAAGAAACATAAATACCAAAATGCGTTCCTCTGAATAAAAAAAAAATCATTGATCTTTTGCTTATTTTCTACCCGTATTATGGAAAATCCTGTTACTCCAATCCAATGAGGAAAACAAAAACAAAAAACAAGAAAGAACAAAGATAAAATCATAGATTCGATAAGGGGCTGTTTCTGAGAAATACAAATCGTTGTTGGTATTCCTTGAGAACCACTGTATCATGCGGAAATAAATCGTGGTAGGGATAGAATTGGTTGGTTGAGGAAAAGGGGTGGGTGGGGTTTCCTTTTGGCGTGCCGTTGCTGTCGCTGTCGCTGTAGCTGCCTGCAACTCTACTTCGATGTTGGACTTCAGTATACCTTGGCTATTTAGAAAGGAGAGACTACCTCCTACTGAGGTACACTTTTACACATATTGTTATTTCGTATGTGTATGTGTGTGTACGTGTCTCTCTCTCTCTCTCTCTCTTCGTGCGTGTATGAATGTGTGTGGGTTTTAGATGCGGCTAAACAGTCGACTAATATTTCTTTCTTTTTGCTTCAAAATAAATAATTAGTGAATAAAACAATTATTGTTTAATAATCGTGCAGGTGAGTGAGTGTGTGTGTGTGTGTGTGTCTCTCTCTGTGTGCTGGTGTTGTTTACCGAATTTTTTTTTTTTACAGTTTGATTTTACACGTGGCTAAAATATCCGAGTTTTTAAAGAAAGGATCTATCGGTTCGATTTTTTTTCTTTTTCTTCTTTTTTTTTTTTCTGAAGTGCTAGCCTGTGATGTTCTGTTAAGAACTGTCTGAAATTTTGTATTCAGGAATTTGGATTTTTTTTTTTTTTTTTTCTAAACGAATGAATTAATCATGTCGCATATATTTCTTTATACAGGAAGAAGAAGATCCTCTTCTAGAAATTCTTTTTAATGAACGTACAATTATATATTTTATTTTGTTGTTGTCTTTTTCCGCATTACAAATATCGGAATTTGTTATTTAACGAGTTAGCTATCGGTGCTTTTTTTTTTTTTTTTTGTTATGCGTGGCAAAAGATTAGAACGATCAGTTAACAAGTTTTTTTCTTTTTTGCAAATGAATCAGCAAAAGAACAAAATTTTGTTTTATACATATCAAATGGAATAAAAGAAGAAGAACTTTTTTAAAAATACTTTTTTTTAAACACAATAATAACAACAACATTAAAGTTAGATAAAATTATCAGAATGTAATGAACATATAACACAATTTGTGCAATTACTGTTAATGTAAAAGAAAAAAAGAAATTTGAATTTGAAAATTGATTTTGCAATAAACTAATAAACTAGAGTACGCTTTTTTTTTTTTTTTGTTGCTTTTTTATCTAGATTTATTATATTTGCATATTCATATGTTACAAGTAGATGTCACATGTTATTCATATTTACGAGAGAGAGAGACACGTTCTTGCTAAGTGCCAAATGCTATATTTGAGTAGCAGCAGAGAACAAAATATGTTTCGTGTGTCAAGCAGTGTGAGAATGAATTACTTCATCCTTTACAATTAGAGACCTCACCTAAAGAAGAACATTTGTACAAATAATACTGATCAATGTTTTACGTATGTATGTGTGTATGTATGTATGTATGTATTACGAAAAGATCCTGATTAAGAGTAGAACTTGAGGAGTGTTCCCGGTCAGTCAGTCAGTCAGTCAGTCAGTCAGTCAGACGATCGATCGAGACTGATAGTCGCCGTTGACTGTGAACACCAGGATTACTTCAACAATTTTGTCACGTGTCTCTGATAGATATATGTATATAAAACTGATAGTATTAGTCATACATACACACACACACACACATATATATATTACGTTTAGAAAAGAAAGAGTAAGTACTTATAGCAGTGTATAGTAATTACGAGATAGCATTTGCTAAAGGACTATTTATAAATCAAACTAAAGTTTAAGCTATATGAGACACACGGCCTTATTTCTTCTCTCTTCTATTATTATAATATTATTATCATCTTTGACAATTATTATTATTATTATTATTATTGTTATTGTTATTGTTATCAAAGGGGTATAGCCGGATTAATATGGGAAATCTGTCCCTGTGGCTTTTTTGACTCGAACTTGGGGAATCGATTTGGTGTCGAATCAAAATAATTCAACTCTTTTTTGTATTGTTTGTATTTTTTCTTTTTTTAAACTTAGATAATTTCTATTTTTTTTTTTTTAAATTAAACACACAATTGTAATATTTTCGATAACACTTTGACACATTAAGATAAGAAATGGGGACAGAAAAAAAAATCTTATTAGATAAATAAGAAGAATTCTTCTTCTTGAAAAGTTGATAATATACGTGTGACACGTTATGATGAAAGTGACATACGTATGTGTGTGTGTGTAGGATATTTTGAAGATTATTTCTATTATCCTTTGCAGGATTTTACTTCAAATGATTTCGTAGAAATGGAATAATTTATTATTATATTGTATTTTTGTTTAGGATAAATAATTTATATTAATTAATTAATTAATTGATAAATGTTACATTATTTTACATTAATATTATAACAAACACATATATGCGTTCATAGCACTCTAAGGGGGTTAATTAATCGTCGAGTGTTTGATTGGGAAATTGATTTGCCAACAACTTTGTTCAATTTTGTATTATTTATTATTTGATCATATGTTTGATGTGAAAAAAAAATAGCTTTGTAAAATAATTTTCTTTTTTCAGGGAGACGACTGTAATAATTTGAATTTCCTCTTGAAATAAAAAACTTGATTGGGGGGAGAGAAAAAAAAGAAAAAGAGAGAGAGAGAGAGAGAGTGCATTGCAGATGAATGAAAGTTAAAGTTTATTATCATTGAACGTTTTATTCCTTTTTGATGAATCATCATTGGATAACGTTTGCAGTTTTAATCAACAGGGAGAGAGAGAGAGAGAGAGAGAGAGAAGTATTTGATATTTTCTTTTTAACAAGTGGAATGAACGAACCATCTATCAGATTATGTTGTTTTCTTTGATCGTCGTCATTTGATAGAAAAAAAAAAAAAAAAGAAAAATCAAGAAGAAGAATGTTTCATTTAAGTTAATCGCAAGATTAAGGAAAATCATGATCAAATCGTACATTCATTTTAATTATTGTCAAAAGATTTTTATAAGACAGATGATATCGTATTGTCGAAAAAAGTCGAAGAAATCGAGAAGATTTTGACACTTTTACTTTCGAATAATTTACAAAAAAAAAAAAAAGGTAAGACATTTAATAATTTTTTTTATTTAGCATTCTTTTTTTTTTTTTTTTTTGAAAACACGAGTTTCATCACGTGAACCAAATCCACGTGGTTATTTCTGAGTTGATAATTTACAATTGAATTAAATTACAATTGAATATAATCACAATTGTAAATTATAATATTTATAAATATATTATATTTAAATTAATGAATATTATTATATTTAAATAATATGAATATAATTAAATAATTAAATGTTCAAATTCTATACGTTTGCATTAACATTTATCAAATTTATTTTTGCTTGCATATTTAGAAATTAATTACAATTGTAAATTATAATAATTAATTTATTAAGATTGTATATACGTTTGTATTAAAATTAACCAAATGTTTTTTTTTTCTTTTTTTGTTACCTGCATATATTTTTCTGTTATTTTTCTTATCTTTTTTTTTCAGGATACATCCATGTGATTTTTATTGGATTAAAATAAATCATAGTTGTAATTAATCGATTGCAAAAAAAAAAAATAATAATAATAATTAAAAAAAAAAAGGAAAAAAAAAAATAGACGAAGTTTGAATTGAATAATTGAATGACTTTCAACTTGAGTTTAGTATAAACGAATGAATTTAAACTCGAATATTATATAATATCCTGTGTGGTGACAGAATAACAACACTGATGCAGTTGAATCGTTGACCTTCATATTTTTCTCAACTGTCTTCATCGTAACGAGACCTTTTTTTATTACCTTTAAAAGAAGATGAGTATGCCTCAGGCTAATTGAACATCACACACGTTCAGATATTTATTGCAAGAGGAAGAGGAAGGAGAAACATAAGGAAAAGTAACAAAGAAATAAAAAGAAGAAGAAGAAGAAGAAAAAGAAGGTTGTGCATTTTATTAAAAGGAGATGTAAGAAATCCTTTCTATCGATCAAGGTCAATCCTTAGTGATCTCCACAAGTGGTCAGAGAAATGACGGTCACTTATACTGCCGAGGTTGCTACCTGTCGTGGTCTTGGATGTTTTCTTAAATTATTACTCAGGTATTTTTACAAATGTTCATTCTCACACGATTAATTAACCCTTAGAGTACTATACGACGCATATATGCGTTTTGGTCAAAATTATCATAGTGATCTATCGACACACATACATACAAATTATACAAATTATTCTACAAAATATTTGAGTTAAAAATATATCAACACTCGAAAGGGGTTGTTTAATCAAATTAATTCAATTGCATTTAAAATAGTTATTTTTCATAATATTTCATAAATTAGTATTTTAAAATTATAATTTAACAAAGATAAATAAATAAATAAATAAATAAAAATATTAATTATGAAATTAAAATATTTCAATATTTTAAGTAAATTTTATATTAAGTTAATACTATAAATAATAAAATTATGTCACGAGTTTTTGAATCACACTAATTTCTAAGTACTCTTGCTCATCCACGATGTGTGTTCCTACGATTTATGATAATTCATTTCTCATGGTTATTACAAACACAAAGATTGATTTTAACGACCAGTTAAAACATCATTCTAACCATTCTAACCATTCTAACTTATCTTTCTTCAAATCATTATTTTTTTTTCAAAAACAAAAAGACCATTGTATTATCTGTCTGTCGTAGTTGTTAAATCACATTTTACGTAAATGAAAGAAGAGAGAGAGAGAGAGAGATAAAAAAAAATAACAATAATAATAATAATAAAATAAACAATAGGAGATTGTCTAACGTTATTTTACACGGTTGTAATTTCAAAAGACAATGGTACCTTGTTAGTAGTATTTCTAAGTTAAATGATCTTTAGAATTTTTAATGAACTTCTTACTAAGATCATTGATCTATGAGTGAGTCTCGTTCTTTTCCTTTTGAAGTCTCATAATTGCAGTAAAGGGCATAAATAAGTATAAATACGGCCCTGATGACCTAGATTTCTCATACTTGAGTGTTCGATCCACACAAAAAATGCCTATTCTGTGTTAAACTAGAATGATAAGGATGAAATATATGCAATACATTTACTTACTCAAACATGACGAACAAGTTTGTAACAGTGTACGTTTGTATATATGTGAATGATGATACTTATCATATAAAATAGTTTCAAAATTTCAAGGAAAAGCTGTAAAATGACAGTGACATACACACACGCACACGTATGACTGAAATATTGGTCCAATTACACACTAGTGTGACACATTATATTACGAATATATTTCTAGTATTCAATTTTATAAGAAAATTGCATAGAAAAAAGCATTCTACATATTATTGCATTGCACACGTTACAAATTGCATGTGTCTATGTATACATAAGTTAAATTATATAGCTTGTAGTTGTGTTTTATTCTCGTGAACTAGAGTCTCACTCAACTATGACTAGCAAAATAACGAGAACTTTCTATCATACTAGTGCAAATTATATTATTGCATTTCTAAGAATTGATTTATTGATAAATAAATTTCATAACTTTTAAACTATTCGTCATAAACTATTATTTTATAAATTAAATTGAAATTGTATATCAAACAAACGATATGACGACATTTCCTTTTTTTCTTATACAATTGATTGATCAAGCATTTCTTTTCTTTTTTCTTTTTTTTTTTTTTTTTTTGATAATGATAAGATATACTTTAAAATTATCGAACACGATTGTAAGATAATAATCACAAATGCGATTTTAATTTTTTCTTTCTTTCTAATCATTAGGAAATATTATTTATCTATTATCGATATAAACGATTTTACAATTAGCTTGATCTAAGGAGAAAGTTCTACGTACAGGGTGTCTCATTTGGAAAAGTATAACAAATAAAATAGAAAATGATGCACCCTCTTAGTAAGAAAACCCCTAAGTCGTGGTTTCATTGATTTTGATTTTGATTTTGATTTTGATTTCAGATGGAGAGCAAGTATATACAAGTTGGTATGGATAGATCTAGCTCTATTTCTATTCATATATTATTCATTATCAAGTATTTACCGATTGATACTGGATGACGATCAAAAGAAAATATTTGAAGCTATAGTTGGATATTGCAACCAATACAGCGATTTAATACCATTGTCATTTGTGTTGGGATTTTACGTTAGTATTGTTATGACAAGATGGTGGAATCAATATATGGTGATACCTTGGCCAGATTCTATTGCAGTATTTGTATCAGCAACTATACACGGTAACGATGAAAGAGGTCGATTAATGCGTCGTACTATAGTCAGGTAGCTAGCCTAAATATATTCACCATCGATTTTTATTCCATTCATATTTTAATCCAATTCTCATGCGATTTTTTATTTCTTTATTATTTAGATACGTTTGCGTTTGTTTGACTTTGGTCTTGGCCAACGTGTCACCAAGGGTCAAGAAACGTTTCCCAACGTTGGAACATTTAGTCGATACTGGATTACTTTTAGAAAATGAACTTTCAGTATTTCAAGGTTTAAATAATAAATTTCCTAAACCCAGTAAACATTGGTTACCCATTGTATGGGCTTCCAGTATTGTTACAAGAGCTAGAAAAGAAGGTAGGATTCGTGATGATTTTGCTGTCAAAACACTCATCGATGAACTCAATAAATTTCGTGGTATGTGTGGTAATCTGATACATTATGACACCATAAGCGTTCCTTTGGTTTATACTCAGGTAATTAATTAATTAATTAATATTCATGATAATATTATACAAAGAATTGTTGTTGACAATGATTTGAATTGACAGGTCGTTACGTTGGCCGTTTATACGTATTTCTTGACAAGTGTCATGGGTAGACAATGGATTCAAACTTCAAATGCATCTACCATCGACCTGTACTTTCCCGTATTCACGACACTACAGTTTTTCTTTTATATGGGCTGGCTCAAGGTCGCTGAAACTCTGATCAATCCTTTCGGAGAGGATGACGATGATTTTGAAGTTAATTGGATCATCGATCGTAACTTACAAGTAAGATCATTAATTAATAAATGATTAGTTACATTTTCTACGATATTTGTTTTTTCCTTTAAAGGTGAGTTATCTGATCGTTGATGAGATGCATCATGAACATCCAGAATTGATACGTGATCAGTATTGGGATGAAGTATTTCCAACTGAGCTTCCATACACGGCAGCATCTCAACCATTCCGTGAGGAACATCCTCAACCTTCTACAGCTGGCATACAATTGTCAGCAGCACAGCAAGAAGTTTTACCATCGTCGGTTAGGATCGATGAAATGGCACCGGACTTTCAACAAAAATTTTCTAACGAAATTGCCGACGACGCTGCTTCTGGTATACACTTTACTGCAGATGGAAAATTGTCCAGGTAATCAATGTTTTTAAAACGTTCTCATTCCGTACCATTTCTAATCAATAACTTTGAACGCTAACAGAAGTATTACCACTGCTAAAATGCCAAGGTAATAAAGTTAGTCAGTCGGAAGTTATCTGTGAGTCATATCACGGAAGAAGATATAACGGTATTAACGATGGACTTTTATTCTTTTCAGAAGTGCCAGCAGAGTGAGTAATCGTGACCGTACTTTTAGCAGTGGATCGACGCCAAGTAATCTGGGTGGTTCGCTGACCAGGGTCAACAGTGTAACCAGTATGTTGAAGAGATTGTTCAGTACTGTAGATAGAACTGATGGTTCGGCCAGCGGTTCCAAAACACCTGGAAGAATTCCTAATTCAAGTTCTGCAGTATCGTTGCAACCTAGAGTCATCGGTAAGATTGATTTTAATCATCCATATTATTTTTTTCTAATCGATTGAATGTAATTAGGTGGTACGGGTGGCTCAGCCAGGATCGGAGTCATCGAAGAAGTCGACGAACAGATGACGATGACATCGATGAGAGCAGAAAACAGGCCCCACGTTCAAAGTATTTTTCCACAAGGACCTCCTCCACCTAGTGCACCGGTTGACGTCCCTGAAACCAATCATTCTAGAAACAGAGACACCATTTCAAACAGTGCACCGGCTACTGCTTATGTACCTGCTCCTGGTACAAGTGGGATTGTTCATGATTTTGAAAATGGCAATCCTCCTATTGCTAGGTCAATATTGTTGTTCATTTATCAATCACACTCCCCATTATGATTAGTCCTTATTTTTTTGCTAAGTTTTTGATTCGTTGTTGATTTTAGGAGAGAGAGATCAAGTATAAGCTATGAACCTTCGAGGAGTTATCAAAGTACCACGACTGGGGATGGCATGATCAGTCCTAGAAGTTCAATATCTTCGACGACCAGTAGTTCGGGCGATGAGTTTACCAAATTAAAAGTAGAACGAGAAAATCAGAGGCGAGAAAAAGCATTCAGAAGATTAGCTCGAAGTGTCAGTGGTCATACTAATATTATTCAACCCGAAGCAAGGAACTTAACGGAAAACGAATTATTATTATTAACCGAATTAGCTGATGCATCGAGAACTGCAATGATATCGAGAAGTCCCGATGACAAAGGAAACAATATTACTAGGGTTTAGGTGAACTCTATTATTAGTTTTTATATCAATTTCGCGTGTTATTTGTGATAAAGTGTAAGTTATTTTATTAAATGCTACATTATGTGCCAGTTACTATGGTAAACTGTAAAAGTAAGGTGGGATAGAAATGAATGAACAAAGATGGACAAGTTTTTTAATTAACATTCCGATAAGATATGCGTACTTTTGAAATTTATCTATTGGCTCTAGATAATAAGCTTCAGATAGACATATTAGGGCTACTCAACAATTATTTAGTAGCTTTTCTTGTTTTCATTTGGCTAATATCATGGCTGTGTATTGATCTACATATACTTAAAACATGTACATACACCATTGAAATTATTGCAAATGATTTTTCACATATATTATAGGATGACAATAATTAAGAAAACGATCGGTGCCGACTTGTGACTTATTTTTATACGTTCGTGTTTTTCCTATTTATCAATGGACACTTATAAGGTAGCAATAATTATCAATCTATTCAATTGACACGACATTGTTACATTTTTGTTCCCGTTTATTGTATTTTAATTTGAACGCACAACAAACCAATTGAAAATATATATTTCGTCGATTTAGATCGGAAAGTGCCTAAAATGTGCCTAGGGTTTAATTGGGCACATGAAATACTCTGACATAAGGTGCATTTGTGAAACACCGCGCTATTGGTCTATTTAAAAGGAAGACGATGTTAACGCTTATACATATGCTGTATTTCATATATGATGTTTTTTACAATTTCGAGATAAGATCCTTTCCCCTTCGACTTTAAAAATAAGACAAACGTTAGAGGTATGTTGAACATTCCAAAGAAAATAAGACCGGAGGGAGGGTCGTTTGTATTTTGTGTCTCTGGTGCTACCAAAAAGAAAACACTTATCCTTTTTCAGTATTAAATAAAGTAGTAAAAAGATCAATGAACATGACTATTATTTCTCTAATAATAATAAAAATACGTTTGACGATTAAAATTGGGTCAAATTCCGCAGAAAGTTATCAACCCTAAAATGATTTGAAATCGAATAAATGATTGAACTTACAACTTCAATTACGAAATGGTAATTTGCATAATAAGCCAAGGGGTTGTGTCATTTAAAGGGTTGATAGATTTCTGTTTGAATCATTCCTATCACACCTGAAAAGTAGATAAAAAGAAAAAAAGAGTTAAAGGACCTGGACAATTGTCAAGATGACCAAAAAGCGCTGTCATCGCTGCTAGATGTCACTGTAGTAACTCGGCAAATGTCGTTAATTTTCGACAAGGTTCGGTTTAACTTGTCGGAGGCGGTTCGACGGCAGTCCTCGTAGTGGGGGTTGATCAGTGGGTTGCCGTCGGCGTGAGGTGGCGGCGGTTTTGTACACGCGAGGTATTCGAGGGGTCGATCGAGACGTGCGCCGGGTGGGTAGAAAAGAGTTTAGCGCGCGGTGCCGCGGCCCGTGCTCGTGCTCGTGCTCGTTGGACGACCAAGTAGGAAAGGTAGTTGAAAGGAGAGGACCCTAAGTGTTGTCGGAGAGGAATGAGTGAATGAGTGCAAGTGTTCTACGAGATCACACGAGAATAGAAGAGGTAAAGAAGAAGCCAGCCAGTCAGCCAGCCAACAGGAGAAACAATAGGAGAAGGTGGAGTCGAAAAAGAAGAGTGCACAACGACCGCGAGAGATAGATTTGAGCATAGTAGTAGTAGAAGGAGTAAGAGTGTATAAGTGGGGAGGTTGGAGGAGGGCCACTGCCAAGAAAACAGTAGTGCGTTCCTTGGCAAGATGGCAGACGGTCCGTCCGCCGAAGAGGCCTCTGCTGTTGATGTTCGAATTCTTTCGAAAGAACGACACAAACGACAGGACGCTTCTTCCTCGAGCTCGTTGCTAGCCAATGCCAATGCGGCGGCGGCGGTGGCGGCGTCCTCTTTCAGCAGGGGCTACCAGGACGTTCTTGGTAGACGGAACGTTGTTCATGGGAATCCTACCACTGGTGCATTCGATGTTGACAATGACGATGACAATGACGATGACCAAGACGATAATGATGACGACGACGACGAAGACGAGGACAATTACAAACAAGTGGACACTCGACCACGTCGTTACCATCATCACCATTATCGCTATCAACATCAACAACAACAACAACAACAACAAAAACAACAAGAAAGGATTGCTAATGAAGGTGCTGTTGGTGTTGGAATTGGTAATCATTTTAATAGTAGTGCTGGTGGTGGTGAAGGTGGTGGCAGTGGTGGTGGTGGTGGTGGTGTTGTCGGTGGTAATTGTGCATCCACTGTTCGAGGAAAGGAACATAGTAAAGTGTTGTTATACGATGAGGAAGATTATTACGAGGAAGAAGATGAGGATGACGAAGAAGACGACGGTGAGGAAGGTGATGAGGAAGATGAGGAAGAGGAAGAAGATTATGTGAAACAGAAACCAGTAGAAAAACGAAGAGTTAGATTGGGCTTGAAAAAATCTACGGAGGGCATTGTTACAAGTGTCAGTAGTGTTGCTAATAATAATAATAGAAATAGTAATGCTAGTGTTGGTGGACATGTAGCTAATGGTAGTGCTAGTGCTTTGTTGGTAACAACCATGCTCCGTAATACATGGTCGCGATTATTACCCAATGTCGTAGACGTTGCAAGTGATCCGTCGGAATCGGTTGGTACAAAGCAAATTAAATCGAATTTAAAAGGTAAATCCGATGGGGAGGAAAACAATGACAATAAGAAAAAGGAAGTCCAATATTTGCAACAACAAAAACAACAGCAGCAACAACAACAACAACAGCAGCAGCAGCAGCAACAACAACAACATCAACAACAACAACAACAACAACAGCAACAACTGGAAGATAAAAAGAAGAGGAATGAAGAGAAAGATAGAAGAGGAGACGATACCACGAACGATCCTCCTCCCCTTAACACCGTAACCGTCACCATTAGCCCTGCCTCCCCTTCTTCAACAACCGTCACAACGAGCGGCATCGCGATCGGCGTCGTTGCCAGCACCGTCAACAGCAACAGCAGCAGCAGCACCAGTACCAGCACCAGCAGTACCAGCACCAGCACCACCGGAAGTGGCAGCTCCGTTGCCGGCGGCGCGAGCAACATCAAGAGTAGTAGTAGTTGCGCCGGCTCCTTGTCCAACGACAGCCCCTTTAAGGGACAGGTCAGGATGGCCGAAGAGACTCTCGTTGGGCCTTGCGGCAAGAAGCGTTGCGCCGATCGATACGACAGCTCCGAGAGTTCCGACAGGTGAGCGCTCTTCCTGCAACCCACAAAATGTTATTTCAAAACCTCCCCTCTTTATCCATCCTGTCCCATCCTGTCCCATCCCGCCCCTTCTCTCTTTCTCCACCTCCGACTATCCCCTTCTTCCTCACTTCCTTCTCTACATAATGTAACAAGTCATTTCGCGAGCATGTCTCATCTCGAGCGTCGAACTTACGCCAGGGGTCGTTGTACCATGTTCCCAGTCAGTCCAAAGACCCAACGCAACCCAGACTTGCACGAGTTATGTCTATAAACTCTGTCTACAACTTTGTATCATCGCTAAAGACATCCCCCCATTAAAATACACCTTTTTCAAGTATTTCATTTAAACATTCGAAGTCGTTTAAATGTCCCACAATTCAACATTAGGTTCCACTTGTTTTAGGTTAATTCACATTTGGTATCGGCTATAGACTCTAACCGAGATAAGAATTTTCTTGTAACCACGCTGACTGTGACTCTTTAACTATGCCACTGTTACTGTTATTGTTCATCATCTCTTGGTGACGTGATAACAGTCGACAACGTGACAAACTTTGCATTTATTAGTTCCTTTGTTCGTTTTCTTCATCATCATCATCATCATCATCATAGTACTTGATGTTTACGTATAACCATCCCAATATATCTTTTCTTCTTATATTACTTTCTTAGAGTTAGAAAGAAAGATTAGAACGAGTGATAAAACTTCCTCCTAACGGTTCTCCTTTTCTATTGGCATACTAAACTTCGATCTTTCCATCAATCATCAATTTTCTTTTTCTTCAACATTAAAAATTCATTTTTATTCGACACAAATTCTGATTCATCCAAGTTTTTCTTTGCCATGTTTTTTTTCTTTCTTTTTGTCTATTCTTCGTCATCCCCTACTACACCTTGACTATCAGGTTCCTTTACCTTTTGATATACGCAAGCAACCGTTCTCTTTACTTTTTCCATGCAAGGATCGTTTATTCCAATACTAAGAAACCAATGTATATAGAATTATATATATATATATATATATATATATTACTTGAAGAGAGTATCGTCTTGTTGCCAGTTGTATCTTTACTTGGAAGAGAGAGAACCTATCGTGAGGTCAACGTATTTATGTTTGTCTTTCTTTCTTTCTTTCTTTCTTTCATTCTTTTTTTCTTAGTCTTTCTTCCTATCTTTCTTTCTTACCGACCCATAATGTATACATTTTGGCAAGGGAACACGTCGTATCTCACATACAGCTTGTTTTCATTCTATCTTTTTCCCTCCTCTCCCAATTCCAAGAGATACAAAAGAGATATCCTAACTTATTTTTTTTTTCTTTCTTTCTTTAGAAAGAAAGAAAGAAAGACAAAATTATTCCTAGTCACAAAATGTTGGAATAAGTAAAATCTTTCAGTTTCTCTTCTCTTTACGATTAGAATCTTTGACACGCGAACATACTTTTATTTAGGAGAATTGTAAATTTGTCTACCAAAAAAAAAAAAAAAACAGAAAACTTTTCGATATATATTTTATTCTTAGTAGTTGAATTTAATCAAAAAAACAGAAAGGGGGGTAGCAGAGGGAGAGAGACACGCAAGCAAATAAGCAAGCAACACTTACACACTCATGCATTTGTGAAAATGTTTCTTCTTTCGATTATAATAGGATAAAGAGAACAATTTTGTAAAATGTACACGTATATCTTTTACACTTACAAGACATACATTTTTTTTCCTTTGTTTTCATAGTACTATGTACTAGTGTATACAAACACATAAGTAACTTTCTATTCTAACATAAGTTTTAGTTCTATTCAGTCAGACTCCTTGCATCGATCGAGAGTCTCACTCACTTCTGCTTACATCACGAACGATCACGACTTCTGAGATCAAAGAGGAGATACGTTCTCTCTTTCTTTCTCTTTTAGATAATGTCTGTGTGTTGTGATCATGCCAACACAACGTTTATTCGTATTACCGAATTACGACATCGACGATTAATGCAGCGACCGTAAGAGCACACCATGACGAGAGATAAAACCATGCCGAGCATGAGTCGCATACGAAAAATGTAACTTCTTGTTTAGTTTATTTTTTTTTTTTTTTTTTTTTTTTTTTTTTTTTTTTTACTAAACGAGAATCTTACAAATTTTTTTTATGAAACAATTTATACAGATTTAATCCCATTATTCGCCAATGGGATGCAATTTTTTTTTTTGAGATGCATTTGAAATTATTTCTTTTTTATATAATTTAATTATTAATTAAATATTACTTTTAATTTTTTGTTTTTTTGCATTTTCGTATTGTGGCAGGTAATGTGTTTAACAAACAAAAATAAAAAATATAGAAAAATTTGTCATTTAAATTATTTTCTAGTTATAGTCTAGTCTAGTCGTTTAAATTCATCAAGAAGTAATAATATCAAATATTTAATTATTAATTAAATATTAATTTTAATTTTTTCTTTTTTCTTTTCTTTGCATTTTCGTATTGTGGCAGATAATGGGTTTAACAAACAAAAAGAAAAAAATATAGAAAAATTGTTCGTTTAAATTATTTTCAAGTTATTGTCTAGTCTAGTCGTTTAAATTCACCAGACTAAGAAAAATTTGGAAAATCATTTCGAGATCATCCTCTTCGATGTATACAGTATTATCGATGTATGTATGTATATATTTGAAAGCCCTAAAGGCTTTTTCGTAATATTTTCATGCCTGCGAGAGTCGACGTAGAAGAAGAAGAAGAGGAAGAGTAGAAAGAGGAGGAGGAGGAGGAGGAGGAGGATGGCTCCTGCTGCGTTTAAGCCCAGGGCCGTCGCTATTTTTCGACCCTCTTTTTATTGAACACTCGATACTGCAACAACGACTACGGGCTTATCTTTTAAGAGTTCGTTAATCCCTTCGAATATTTTTCATAAAAAACAAAATACTCCCTGTCAGATTTGCAATTGGGGTAGGGGTGGTTGTAGTATCCAACAATTTTTCAAATTGAGCTTCTGTTTTTTTCTACCCCCCTCCTCTTTCCTCAAATAATTTTCGACATAATCGTCAGAAAATTTGGAACGATGAATATCAGAAAAAATTTGTATTGGTCATCGTAGGATGGGAAGTAAGTGGATGGTGGGGGAAAGATTTTTTCAGATCGAAATACTTTAGTTTTCTTTTTCGTATCTCTCTTCGAACGTGTTTGGATGGATGAAGCATGTAAGTAAGTGTGTGTGTGTGTTGTTCATATCGAAGAAAAGAATAAGAATAAGAATAAAAAAAGAAAGGAAGAATAATAAAAAAAGAGAGAGAGAGAGAGAGAGAGAGAGAGAGAGAATCTGTTTTAACGAGCGTGGAAGGGATCTCAGCAAGTTCATCCACCGTGACTCGGACGCATCTCTTGGTTCGATCGACCCAAAGAGTCGACCGACAGTCGCCATCTCTCTTTTCTTCTTCTTCTTCTTCTTCTTCTTCTTCATCTTCTTCATCCTCTTTTAAGAAGAAGAAGAAGAAGAAGCAGCCAGGTTCTATGGGTTGCTCTCTTGTATTTTCATTTGGACACGCCAAGTTTAATCCTTTTCGTAAAAAAAAAAAAAGAAATGAAAAGAAAAAACGGTCCAATTCATTTGGACCGTTTCTTTAACCGAGTAATAAACACTCGGATACGCTCGAAATCTTCTTAGCTAAAGAAAATTTCTAAAGGACATGACAATAAACCAAAATTCCACTAACTTTAAGTAAGATGCGTGCATGTGATGATGAGAACCATTATTGTCAAGATTGCAAACTAAGTTTTATCTGTAATATTGGATAAAATCCAATTTCTATTTATAACAAATAAATATTTAATAATTTGTTAACACGAAGAAAAGAGAAACACATACATATATATATATATATATGTTTAGACTTTCTAAAGAAGGCTGCTTGCAACATCCCAGTTAGAAAGATTCCAGTGCAATAAAGTTGATGTAAAAAAAAGCTTTTAAGTGCTCACAAACCCTTTCGCCTTTTCCACCGCCCATTTGTTTAAGAACAAACAAACAAATTCTCATTTTATGAATCTAGACAATGAAAAACATTTTTCTAAATGTTTGAAAATCTATTTCTAGTTTGTAACACGTAGGCGAGTAGTTAAATGTTAATTTCAGTTGTCTTGTTATCTTTGACCTTTTCCATATTGATTGTTTGTTAACTCACAAATTAACTTCTATACTATAATTATTAATTATCAATACGTTTATCATTTTGATTATTTTATCATATGTGCATGTATGTGTGTTTATGTGTATGTTTATGTGTTTCTCGTAAAACTGAAAATTACTAAAATTTGATGTGATTTATACGAACGGGAATCCATGTATTTTATTTTTCATTTCTTTTTGTGGATATCATGAACGATGCTTCGAGTATAAATATGTGTATATGTATGTGTGAGAAAGAGAAAGAGAAAGAGAAAGAGAGAGAGAGAGAGAGAGAAAGAAAGAAAGAAAGAAACCGGCAACCTTTACCTTCACTTTGCTTCGCCGGTTGTTCCACTCGTTCCATTCACGAATTTCACTTTCACGGCCACGGCCACGAGGTTTGCGAAGGCCTCGCGAGATCGCCCCCGCTTAACTTCTTCTTATACTTTTTTCTTATTCTTATTCTTCTTCTTCTTCTTCTTCTTCTTCTTCTTCATCTTCGTCTACTGATTGAGAAAATATTGTCCTCTCTTCAAGAAAAAAAACCTTCCAAATGTTTATGCATGTGTCTGTCTGTGTGTGTGTGTGTACACATTTGATTAGAAATTCATTTGAACAGGTTGGACGTGTTAGATCAGATTCCACTGATTCATTCGACTCAAATCAATTTCAGATTCATTTAATTGAATCTACGGTTCAAACAAAATCCAAATTCATTATTTTGTACAACAGTTTTTTGTTTGTTAACAAAGTATTAGTAGATGAGATCATCTTAGTGTTGAGAAAAAAAAAATCATATCAAATAAACTTAGTATCCTTGTGTGGATGTTAGTATAATTGTGCTTAGT